GGTTTAAATTGGTCAGGCTGGGTGCTGATTGAACAAGGAGGAGGTGGGGTGAGTAAGAGTAATGGGAGTGAGTGATGAAGGCTGAGGAACAGGTAAACTCTGGAGAAGCGGTGAGGTAGACGAGAGCGAAATTAGGTCCTCCAGGCTGAATTTATACTAGCTCAGTATGTACCAGTAGAACAAAAAACAATAAAGTTGATAAAATATAAGGCTATATACATCTATGTTATCTATTACATAATGGTAAGTTGTTATACAGTTGAGTATGATATGGAGTACTTATTTGGTTCACTGTATTAATTCTTCACGTACAGGGAGGGAAAGGCTTGATTGGCGTCTTGCTGGCTTCCTACATCCACTTCAGCAACTTGTCTTCCAGGTAATACCACAAAATTAAATACTACTTTATTAGACACATATTACATATTACTTTGAAATTCAGAATGAAATATGGTCAGTGGTTTATCACCCATGAAAAAACATGTCAATAAATGTCTCTATTTGGGTGGGACGATTAAAAAAAAAAAAAATAATGATCAGCATTGCATGCATTTATATATTCAAAATCAGGATTCAATTCAGATAATTGTAAAAAAAAAAAAAAAAAAAAAAAAAAAAAAAAAAAAAAAAAGAAAATAGTATAGATATAAATAGAATATTTTGCAAAATATTGTGCTGCCTTATTTTCATGGATTTAAACAGTAAAGGAAACATTCTCATTATTGTCCACTAAGATAATTTCTTTGTCCTTGTATATTAAATTCTGTCTGTATCTTAAAAACTGACTTAACAAATGTTCATATTTTGCACCACCTTTATCTACAGTGTTAATTCAACCACTCCTTATAGACACCTTATCACATTTGAATGCAGTCCTTCTAAATGTATTGAGCTTTGGGTGATTAGATTCATTGGTGTCAGGAGCACTTTGTTTTGGTAAACCCAAGTCAGCGGACAAACATTTGCAGTTGGACATTAAAGGAGGCCATTTCAGGGGAAGGGCAGGACAAGTGATCGAGGAGACTTTGAACTGGAACTGTTGTTTGATTTTCAGCCAGAGATCCTGCTGTCAACCACCTGTAAATTTATTTACTTTCAATTTAGTTGCAGCCACACTTCCCGGAGTCAAGCCATTTTACAAGAAAAGAGTTCTTTGGGTTCATCCAGTGTCACAGAGCAGTGGTGATTCAAACTAAAACAACAAGCTATCGAGAAATTGGTTACATAACATTGCTTGGCTTGTATTCTGAACAGGGTCTATATTACAAAAAAAAGAAAATCTAATTTGACTGCTCCCTATTATAAAGGAATAAACAATACCACAAAGTTTAGCATCTGATTTGACTGCCTATGTTGAAATAGCTGTTCATGGTAATTACTTGAAGACCGACATTTAATATGGTGTTTTCATTGGTCTAATTCCTAAAACAGATGTGAAAAATTCTGCTTTTATGGTCTGTTAGATTGTATCATATTAAACTCCAAAGCCATAGTGTTATCCTGACCTGGTGAGCCATATGAGCTCTAGTCACATTTGTGATCCACTGCTGTCAAACCATGCAGACTCATCTTATTGTAGCAGTTGTCCATTATTTCAACTCACTACAAATGAGTACTCACCTCTCTCTCAGTGCAGACCTTTCTTTGGACCACTTTGCCATGAGAAGATTCTTTCACGACAAACTGGCTCCCCTGATGACCCCCTCTCAGAAAAGGTATGTCTGATTAGAGAAGGTCAAAGATCATTCCCCAGGCTCACGTAGAGCAGTCTACGATGACTAATGGCCCCTGGGTGACCTCAGCCTTGGTCAGCTGACTGTAATGACTTGAGCTTCCTCAGCTGACACTCTTCAGATAAAGTGTATGTCCCTCAGGTATGTGTGGATGCTGGGGAGCATGCTCAAGGGGGGGTTAAGGATGTGCCCCAATCCATCCTTCCTCCTCTGCGTGGTCCTGCACAGCCTGCCAAAAATAAGGCCTGATGGAGGTGAGTGCTAAGATAACAGTATATGCAAAAGCTTAGTCATCTTTATGCATTTCTTATATTTTGCCAAAATGTGTGAAAAAAGAAGGTGCTTTATGTAGCTTTTCTGGTGGGGGAATGTTTGTGTCCATTCAGATAAATTTGCAGTTCTATTTTGCAGTTATTCAATTACACATATTTTTACTGCTGAAAAATAACTTCAAAAATATGCATTCTTACTGTGAATGAGATTTTCTGTCCACAGATCTGACCTTTAATGGCCTGGTAGTACCATCTGCTTGCTGAAGACAGGCAATTGTAATGCATACTGTATACAGTGGAAAATTATAGGCAAAGCAATAACATCTCCATGGAGCAGGTGGCATTTTTTGCTATTAAATTGACATTATAAGTAATAACAAAACTCATGCAAACCCAAACAGCTGTGGGATTTATAATGCACTCATTATACATGCATGAGTTATATTAAAAGGGGAAACCATGGAAGATTTTGAAGGAATACACAATTATTCTTATTCAGTTCTAGCCTTTTGTCTATTTGTTTTAGGATGCAGTCTTTTTCTGCGTGTTTACCAGAGTCTGCAGGCGGTGTGCACATCTGCTGTTTAGTAAGTCATTATGAAAGTAGGGCCTCACTGTTGTACGAGTGACCTGTTATAAAATCATCAGGTGGTCTCTCTCTCTCTATATTTCAGTCACGTCAATGCGGCCCAGATTGACCGGCTTTACTTTGTGCTCCAGCCTGCTCAGCTGCTCAAAGGAGACATTATGGTAAGAGCTGTAGTACTTACTAATCAGTCAGAGAATACATTTTGGATGGTAATTATTTCAAATCATATTTCACATTTGGGGTTAGTGCAATGTGGGCATTTAAAGTCACTATGGGTGTAACAATATCCAAGTGTCACAATATGATATCGCCACAGTATGGAGCTCACGGTATGATATTTATTGCAATATCGTGGGAAAACTCACGATATGGTGTGGAAGCTCATGATTAGGGATGTAAAAATATCCATATCTCTCGGTACGATATTTTCACGATATACATCTCACAATACGATATTTATTAAGATATTTTGTGGAGGCTTACAAAATTGTTAATATGTGACTTTTTCCTCTTAAAACACCTTGACAAAACTTATTCCAAAGAACTAGGACTTAAAAGTGCTTAGAGCTGTTATTTCTTTTTGTAGTCTACACTGAAATGAAGCAAAGGTTGATGGTCTATGTATGTAGTTCCTTCTGTCTTTTTTTTAGCTATTGCTGCACCATAACTCTTAATTTAAGCAAAGAGACTTGTAATTCAATATATTGTGATGATCCACGATATTATAGTGAGAACTCTGACAATATGATATCATGATATTTTGGTTATTGTTACACCCCTAAAAATCACAATATGTTACTTTTAGCCATAAACACATCCATCCTGACAGTGGGCCTCCTGCTTGTTTCCATGAAGATGTTCCTTTGGCTATAAACATCTGCAATATGGCATAAAACTGATCTATCTTATCTATTTTATGTAATACTTGAATCTCAACCAAGACATTTTCTGGTACATGCTAGAACATTTCTGATGGATTGCTAAAATTTTGTCTGAATATTGTCATCAGGATAATCCAAGAATGTAGACTATGTAACACTGTTATGGTTATGAAGGTAGAGACATTTATCAGATTTACTCAGTACACTTTTTTTTTACTAGTTAATTAATACTTTGTTTATTGTTTTTCAAAGGTTGTTTGCTATGACAAAAACTGGCGGTCATCGAGTCGTCAGGTTGTGTTCCGGCTGCAGTTCCACACAGGCCTGGTGCACGGACACTCTCTCACCTTCTTTAAAGCAGACTTGGACTGTGCCAGTGAAGGTATTTATGACCTGCTGCTGTCTCCTTTAACAAATGGCCAACTCCACTGTGTTGAATTAACTACGTGTAACAGATATAACAGTATAAATCTTGTCTGTTCCTCCTGTGCAAATACCTGGACTAACCTTGGCAGCTTATCAGTGTTCTGCAGTCCAGGTGTGAAGTACACATGAAAACAGCACTACGCACACGTAACTGTCTGCTTTTGGGGTTTTATTCCAGATTCCCGTTTCCCAGAAAATGGAAAAGTGGAGTTGTTCTTCTCAGATAGTCCTGAGAAGATAGCAGGTAGGTCCAGACACACAAAACATATTTAAACGATTATTTTGTAAAGTAGGAATGCATAGTTGACATCCAGCAATCAGATTTCTGGAATAAGATAAAAACAGGACCGAGAAAAAACAAAAGATGCTATGTGTTTCATCTGTTGGGCCATAAACCAAGCATAGTGGATTCAATTACTACATTTCAAAATATGTGAGAAGATTTTCCAACTTTCTCCAATGCATTTGAACTTCAGTTATATATTTATAATTTGTGTTTAACCCAATTCAATTTAAATGGCTCTCTTAGGAATCACGGTGGGTAATCTTTATCAAATTCCAATAAAGGTCTTATATTACGCAAAATGGAATTCATTTACAGATGTTTGAGTAATCCTTTATTATTAGTCTGTCTACATCTCCAAAGCTCAAAATGCTGTGTTCCCCCTTGTGATGTTATGCAGTTGTAGTTTTGAAGTTAACAGCTACTTATTTCTTTTTGTTTTGTAGAAATTGACAATTCCAGGGCTGTGAATTATCCAAATGACTAGTGAACTCATATAGAGTTTAAAAACACAGTGGAGCACTAACTGTATTACCATATTACATCAGAGTGTTTTTCAGTTTGAAAGAAGATCTCAGCCTAAGGGTTTGTGTGTGAAACATGTGTGAATGAAACAAAACACAACTCCAGGTATGTTTATGATGAGGAAACGGTATTATAACATTAGAATCAAAATCAGAATCAGAATTTATTTGTCATTCCAGTATAAAAATATACAGAAATGAAACACTGCACTCAGGTCCAGTTCAACAGCAGCAAAAATAATGATAGGAATAAAAAGTTCAAAATATAAATAGTTTAAAATGTCAAAATAAATAAATAAAATAAAATAAAACAGCCCCCACATCAATAATAGCTGAATATGGGCCCTTTTACTACAAAATAAAAAAATCTGTACAAGCAAATATAGTTAACCTACATTGTTTGATGTAGAGTACTTTTGTAGACCAGAAGGAGGCAGTGTTGCAAAGTTAAGCTGGTCCCAAACTCCTGCCTGCCCTGCTCCCTGCTCCTGTTGCCCAGCTCCCAAACAGGAAGTCATTTGAGACATTATCACACAAACTTATCTGACAAGAATCCAGATTGTAGACACTGTAGACAGGGAAACACACATACGCTTGTACTACACATGGCAAAGACACAAGCTTCCTGTATCCACAAGACTTTTTTCTCTACAGCAAAATATCTAAGGTAATGAATGATTTACTTCTGTTATAACACATTTTCAGCAAATAGCAGTGAGAATCAGATATTTGATCAGGCACAATGTTTACATTAACAAAACTTTCTTTTCAGTCTACAAACATTACATTATATAGGCTACAGTAAGGTTTGTGAAAAGTTAGGAAGTTTTAAGACCACATTAGCAGATTACTGTGCAAACCAATTGAGTTATAATATAATGTACCAATGGAAATGAGTTCAAATCAGCTAACTGCATTGTTTGATGATTAATGTGCTGTGTCCCTTTACAAATATACTGTTTCCCACAAGTTCATACTGTGACTATGGCGGCATACAGTACTGTATATGGAGAATAATGTGAATTTTTGGCTTTGCAGATAAAAACATAACTAAATACAGATAAAATATAGTTCCTTCTTTATATTTAAGACAACAGTACAGTCATAATGTCATATAATTAGTTTTACCAATTTTTTTGTTCAGATTATTTTTAGACTATGTGGGCTATGAGAGGCCAAGATCTCCTCTATTATTGGGAAACACTGAAATAAATAAAAGTATTAATATAAAAATATAATTGTATGCTGTGTTGTTTATTTATCAGGCAGAGAGCTGTGGCACAATGGACGCTCAGTGACAGTGGACTATGACACTTTGGATCCTGTAGTCAGACGAGACTCCTACCAAGACATTTCCAGTTTGGGAACAGGTAAAATACAATTTATATCTGAGCAGTTCTTTGACTTTCTGTTGTGTTTGTGGCTCTATTCTCACTGTTATCAGCCCAGATTGAACAGGAAAGGCAGAGATGTGAAAACACTGGACACAATGGGACATAAATAAACGGCTCTGTTAGACGCCAGGTGACCTTTCAGGCTTGTGACTGTGAGAATTTTATAGTTATAATGTCAAGTTAATGATTCTTAGTTATTTTACTTTTACTTTTGGCCTGCTCAAGTTAGAGTTGGTCTCCTGACATTCATGCTTTTTCTTAAGGGGCCCATACCTGTCTGAATGAGACAGCTTTCTTGAACGGTTCCTTAATGTGAATGGTTGGAATTGAATCTCAGGTTTAAAAAGAACCAGATCTTTTTCTTTCAAATTTTTATGCATTTTTAATGATTAACACTGAATCAACATAATAATCAGCACAGAGGCAGAGCAGGTAACATGAGAGAGCATGAGAGCGCTACACACAAAACAAAATATTTGGCATCATAATAACAGTTCATTTTTTAAATATTCATATTGTAGTGCAAAATGTTATTTGGATTATGCTAAATTTAAGTGGGTAAACACACACCCACTTTCACTTTGAACCATTTCATAGCCTTGGTCTTTTCTATCTGTGATTAGCTTGTTATTAAAATAGGTTCCCACACTGGAGAAGCCAATGTGGGAACTTATTTTAACAACAAACTAATATAATTAAGTATTAAAAGAGACAGTTTTTTGAACGGCTAAGTGACATGTATGGATCCAAAAGATTCGGATCCCATAAAAGAGCTGAAAGTCCCATCACTAATCAAAACGGTATTGCATATTATCCAACATGGCAAGACTTGACTTCGTTTTTTCAGTGGTTGATTTGTTGGAGAAGAATCTGTAAAGCTAATGTTGTTATGCTGTTGTTTAAATTCTCACACAAGAGTCATTCCAGCTTCACGGAGCGTTTGGATTTATTCCTCCACAGTCGTTTTTTTTTTTTTTTCCACTGTCTGCATCATTGAGCCCAGCAGCAGCACGCAGCTGTTGTCTGTAAATCCATGTCTGAGGAGAGAGAAAGTGCGCACCGCTAAGGAGGCATTTTTCTCTCTAAATTACAACTAGAGCCATAAAGAATTGCTTTTATCAGATGTTTTTTTTTTAAATTCAGATGCAGCTGTTTGTGCAATGAGGACTTTATGAAGTGTTAATATGTCAGTAAAATGCATTTCCGAAGTGTTGTTGAAGTGTCTATCTCTAGTGTCTAGAATTGGGCTGATAACGAAAAAACAGTGCTATCCTATTCTATGTTGTTTTGAATATATAATTAAATAGTGATTAAATTAAAAAGTGCTGTATATACTGAAAAAGGGTCAAATGATTTTTCTGCACTTGTGTGGATAATTTTACTGTAGTCTTGATACTTACACGATTTGTCAATATGAGTTTTTCTGAAAGTTTTTAATGTTTACACTTGTCTTGATTTGGTGTTTCATATCCAGTCTGAACCATGGTCAGTGTTGTAGGCACAGTCTTAGTCTCTTCACAACTGTTGTGGTTTGAGATGCCTTTTTCAGGAGTGGGTGAATGACAGTCAGGTTTCTAGACAGAAGCCAGACCTATATATTTGGGAGGCGGCTGACTATTTTTCAGGCGTCTCTCTTCACTTGGTATAAACAAAAAAGACACACATGTAGACAGCTCACACAATAACACTAAGCAGAGGTTTTGAGGCGAGTGCTCCAGCTGTTTTATGCCATTGCTAAATCTGCACTGTCCAGCCATGTAATTTGGACAGACCGATCTTTGGGAAGAGACATGCCTCAAACGTGCCATGTAAACACACATAGATACACACATACGCCACCATTATGCTAACCACAGGCACTCACGCATGCACTTGAAATGAACATACTAGCTCTGTAACCAAGAATGTTGTTTTGAACCTACACTGCCAAAAATAATAGCTCCATGAGATAAAATGACTTGGATTCAGAAATTTTTTGTAGTTTTGACTAGATTTATGGAGTAGATTTTAGGTAAAGCAAAATGATCAGGCTGTCAAGTTTTTACCTGTCTAGTTGAATTATTAACTGTAATAAATCTTCCCTGATATTTTTATCTTTGAAATTAGAAATATTTATATTGAAATCAGGCCAAATTATTTCAAATTTTAAACCAGCTAACCACATAAATCAAAATCTCTCAAAACAAGACATATTTCCAGACATATTTCAAGACAATTTTAACCCAATCTGTAGATATAATTTTCTTTCTCTCTCTTTTTTTTTTTTTTACAGTGTGCCCACTCTCCCACATGTACAGTACTTCTTCCTATCATTTCATCTCCTGTTCCTTCTTCTTCCCTTTATCTTCGTCCAAGCTCACTTCAGGTTCAAGTTGCAGGTTGCATGCCCATCCCCCTTTTCACGCACACACGCACACACACAACTCCGCCTCCATGTTTACATTCCCCGCTCCATAATTGGCCAGCTCAAGGTCCTCTTGTGCTTTGTGTTTTCTGTGAAAGTCCGACAGCTCTTCCTCACCTGCCCCTCATGCCTGCTGGCTGGTGAATGATCCACCTCTGTCTCTCTAAACCCTCACAAATTCCTTCTCCTTCCTTATTCCCTCCAGGCACAGAAGTCTCCCGTGCTCGCTCCACTGTGTTACCTGTGTAGTGGGACAGGATGCAAGCGAGGGGAGGGGGGTATTTGCGAGCTAAAGAGGGGAAGGCAGAGGAGGAGACCTGTTTGAAAAGTGATTTTGGAGGCGGAGATTGCGCACAGTCGGAGCTATGACAGAGAGGCAAAACAGTGCTGTGTGAGTGTGTAAGGGTGCGCAGGGGGAGAGACACTAGGGGGGCTGTTAGCACCTTAAGAGAAGGAATGTTCTTTGCCTGTATTCAGCGTGAACAACACAGCGTCAGATTACTAGACTACAGAAGAGGATTCATCAAAAACTGGTCTGAACAACTTTTGGGTTAACTTTTAGTATCCTTATCTCTCCTTTTCCTTGCTTCCTTTCTGCTGGTCATCTATTGTACCTTCCTCTTTTTGTCACTCCTGTTGGACTTCTAAGCCAGCATCCTGTTTCTAGTTTGCATTAGTGAAAGTTGAATTATGGTAAAGATTTGTATAGCTGGGATTACATTGTTTCCCAAGCAAGCAATGTTTACGAATTTACTTCTCAATGCTTTAGTGTGTGTCCAGCTGTGAAGTTTTTACCATGCGTGTCTGGTATTTGAATTTTATTGCCTCTTTGGACCTAAGGGGCTAGTACATACTGCTCTGGTATGCACTGTACGTATTGTTGTAGTAAATATGACTATTCTTAAAGGAGCATTGTGTAACTTTTCTGGTAGAGGATCCGCTACCTGCTTGACTCGATGTAGATGTTAATGTTTTTCCCTGGAATGTTCTACCGGATGGCATTTAGTTTAACTAACACCATGGACACAAGCAGGCAACATGACAATACCAAGTTACAGGTCAGATCTATGGAGAATTTGGCCTATTCACTGTGGAGAATTTGGCCTGTTCACTATAATAATGCATGTTTTTACTGTAGTTGTGAGAATATAAATAAAAATACAAGATCTATTTGTTTGATGCCATACTGTGGAAAGCAATGATGGCAGGCCCTCCATCAAAAAAGTAGCACAGTGCACCTTTAAGAAGCAACCTTCATTGTGAGATTAGCATAGGGGTGTTTTTATAGTGTCACCTTGGTAGTGCAGTCAGAGTGGAACAAAACTGTGCGTGATCAGCTGACCTCAATGAGTGACATGTCCTTTACGTGACACACACACACATACACACACACAGGCACACACACACACACACACAGAACTATATACATGCATCCGCCAGCACCGCACAAAGAGCCCCTGTGTTATCAAACCAGAAGTGTGTCTAAAGTGATGGCTCTGCTCCAACAGGTAGCATGCTGCTTACGTGCATTTTTGTCATCACAACTCAAGAGATGCAGGTAAAGGCGAGATTATGACAACAGAAATGTACTTGTGAACTACTTGTGCTGAAATTGAGCAAGAAAGTTGTTTATTTAAAAGAAAATGTCTTAAAAATGAATTTTTACTCATGCAGACATATTGAGGTCTAACTTGTTTGTAACTTCATCAATGTTCCTACCACCATCTGATATGGAGTAACTGAGGTCTTGAGATATTATTATTGTTCTCTGTGGGTTAAGGTGTTTTGTAACCCACAGGTATGAATTCTTCCTACTTAAAAGATTTTATCAAGATTTGTGTTTTTCAAACTTTAAAATGATCTATCCACTTATTCTCAGTCATTGCATTAACTGTAAATGTGATATTTCTCTGGTGAAGGTTTCATGATAATATCTGAGTAGTGTTTTTAAAGGTCTATGTCTTATGTAACTTGTCTAGTGAATAGAATGCAACTTGTTTGTCTCCATAGAGAGATTATTGCTTTGCCTTGAATGTCCCACAATATGGCATTATAATTATCTGAATATCTCCAAGAAGATTAACATCTTCTTATCCTCCTCACAACAAGAATGCATATTTTCAAGGCAATGAAAACACCAGTTGTATGATAGAAAGGTTTAATGTTATACTTTGTTGAACAAGTAAGCAATAAGCAATAACATCTCCATGGAGACTGGCAGATGTTGGACTTTCCACCGGAAAAGTTACATAGTGCATCTTTAACAGAGTCAGGCAGGCTCAAATGTAGAGTGTGAAGTATAGGTTACTCAAACATGGCACCCAGATTGGCAACTTGTGTATTGCATCTTTTAATTGTCAGAAAATTGCCATAGAAGTTTGACTAACAAATATCTTCATTCTCTCTTTGCAGGTTCCTCACTGAATGGCGGGATCTATGCAAAAGTGAGGAAGCCCAGCTCTAAAGAAGGCCCTCCGTTCACTCTGTCTTCCAGTCCTCCCAGCTGCAGTGAGCGTTTCCCATCTGGCAGCAGTGACTCCGGTCTGTCAGTGGCCTCCCAGGGCCCTACCAGGACTTCCCACTGTCGACCATATAAACTTGAAAAGCTTGGAGCTTGTTTTACGGAATTGGAGCTGGCCCAGTCTTCTTTGCGGGCCATGACTGAACTAACTTTGTCCAGTGGGGGTGAGGGGGGGATCACTGGTGATGAGTCTGGTTTAGGACAGACTGAAAATGGGGAAACTTCATCCACGGAGCGGGAGACGGATATTTTGGATGACGAAGAGGAACTGCGGTCTGCTTTGGAGAGGCCTAGCTCTAGTAGCATGTGCTCACTGTCTTCTGAGGAGCAGCCTGTCCAAAGTGAAAAGGATTCAACCCAATCCTGGATCCAGCAACAACAGAAAGTAGTTAGCGCTGTCGTTACAAGGGACTTAGATGGCGATCACAGTGTTACTGAGGAAAGGGAAGCTTCTTTCTTAGCTCCTGATGCACCTGTTAGGGGGTCCAGCAGCAGAGAGGCAGTGCAGAGGGGCTTACAAGAGGATGGGGTAGACAACAAACAGTCACCGTGCCAAGATGAGGAACTAGCATCTTTAGCCACAGATATCGATGAATCCATTGAACAGTTGAACCAGCTCATCTTGGATTTGGACCCCACTTTTGTTCCTGTACCGACAAAGTGCTCCCCCCTGTCCCGGTCAGCTTCACTTCACAGCAACGGCCTCAGCCACAAAGGACTCACGCATCTGACAGGTAAGAGCATTCACAACTAGAAATGTAAATATTTACTTATCTAGCTGTTTATTATGCTTTAACAAACTATAATTAAATCTTAAGACCTTATTACCAGTGGCTTAGGTGGCGGTTTTCTGTTGTTGTGTCCTTGGGCAGTACACTCCCCCACTTTTATGAAAAGTGTTAATGAAAGACTGAATTGGAGACTTCTGTTCTAAGAGGCTACATCTATTAAAATATTCCTGTGCAGCTGTGGGAACAATTTTTTTTTTTACCAGCCCCAATGTGGGTAGGGATGTAACTGTAACAAAGTGGAGTGAAACTGTATTGTCAAAAGTTAGACAATAATATCATGGGCTATATCAAATCACAAGCTCTTTTGCGTAAAAGTATTGTTTTGTTGCAGTCAAGGCTAAAAATCAGAGGGAACTACAAAGATAGGCCACGATCCTTTGCTCTGTTTCAGTGCAGACAACATGAAGGAATGACTGTTATTAAACCCTTTGTAAATCTTAATCCTTTTGACTGTAATTGTAGCACTTGCAAAGCTTATCGGGGCTTTCAAAAAGGAGAAGTTTTCCACAAATCCATTGTCTCTTCACAGTTCTGCACTAAATATGCTATCGTACAGTGACATGAATAGCCTGATAATATTGTATCTTGAGATTTGGATATTGTTACATTCCTGAGTGTCTTCTGGAAAACCACTGCCATTCATATTATAAGAAAATAGTTGCTCATTTTATGTTTAATTTGCCCTCACACTGTGGTATAGTACCTTTACTCATGTGGTCAGTATAAGAACATTGTTTATTCAACCGAAGTATAGAATAGCAACACCTTTAATAACAAATATACATGAAACACTGTAGATTCCAAATGCTCACTTTGCTGAAGCTTACCATATTTAATTAAGTGTCTTCTAAGTGGTGGCAGAACACACCAGCACTCACCACCAACACAGAATCACCTGCTGCTGACAACCGTGATGAAATATGCTTTTTAATTAAAGGCAAAACAGTAGGTGATGTTGTCTTGTGAGCTATTAAAAAGACTATTTTACTGCAGCAATCTTCTCTAACATAAAAATACCATGTACATTGTGTTTGCTGAAAGGGTGGAAGTGTTTGATAAACAATTTGAGAGCAAAGTACTGAGTGTTCTGGCTTGTGATCTTGAGGTATTTAAACTTCTGCTGTAATATACATGGAAATATACTGAGAGCTTAAAATATGAGGCATTCATATAAGCAAAGGTTGTGCAGTGATGACTAGAAATTAGCCATAGGGACAAGAGAACAGTGTGTAGTGAAAAGTAAGCACAAAAGAGGATTGTTAGTAGAGGTTTAGTGTCAAATGGCAATAATTTTCTTTCTGTAAATAGTCACCATGGGCTGAACTATAGAACATTTTGTATGGTTACCTTTTTTCTCCAATAAACATCTGATCATTTAATCTTAGTAACAGAATGCAGACTGTACTACTAATAGCAATTGTACCATATAGTGAACCAAAATGATAAAAGAAAAATACTCAAGCCTATATTGAACTTGAAATGTATTTTTTTTTTTATGGTTAAATAATCTTTTTAAATGCTACAGTTATCTAAATGTCTTATACATAACACTAGGACTGAAAATGCAATTTGAATAGCTGATATTGGCAAATTACAAAGACTGCAACTTTATATAATATATCATTTATAATGCCATAATTTCCTCCACAAACCACAAAATATCAGACAAATATTATTCTGTATAAAAGCTGCTAATCCTGTAGTGTAGATCTGTACAAACATCTCCTGAAATGTGATTCTTGTATTAGTTTGTCAGTTCATCAGTCTTTTTGTCAGTTCTTCTGGATCTGTTTAAAATGTATAATCCCCATGAAAACATAAATCGAAATTCTATATTTTTCCCACTGTTTTCAATAATTGTTTAATTCGAATAATAGTTTAAACTGAACATAAACTCAAATGTTTTATGGGCCTGGGTTGCAGTTATTTGCTCAATAACTTAACCTCTAGGCTCATATTTTCAGAATGGGCTTGGGTCATATCCTTTTATTAGATGGTCTATCTCCACAGTGCATGCTTTGTTGGAAATACAAACAACATTCTCGTGGTTTAAGGACATCCCAATATGAACCTGAACATCTCCCTGACCTTCTGTCTCTCTGCTCTGTTTCTACTCACAAAAGAACAGATTTACGTGCGTTCATTTCCACAGGGACAGAGCCTGGAGCAGGAGCCACATTTTTAAGCTGACCCCCCTCCTCATGTACTAGTATTTTCTCTCCTCAGGGTCATAGGTGTTGTGCTTATATCATCACCACACAGTTCTCCTACAGCTGTCCCATCAAAGCTAACCTCGCAGTGGCCCGTGAGGCACAGAGGAACCAGCCGCCAATCATACCCAGGTGACAGCTCGTGAATAATGTTTATCAGAGTTTGCACACGCTCTGAGGTGGGCAGCGTTTAACCTTTGACTCTGTTAGTCAGGACTTCAGGTAAAAGAGTTGTTGGTTTGATACAAGAAATAAAAACAAGTGCAGCCTGGTAAATCATCAGGATAATTACATACAGCAGCAGTAGTAGTAGTTTTTAGGTGGAGGACAACAGTTGCTTTTAAGATCTAATATCACAATTGTAGACAATATAAGAAAACAAATAGGTAGTTTAATTTCCACTATAATGCAAAAATAATGAAATTATTTTTTGGCAATATCACTCACCTTTAAAGATTATTGCAAACAATCTACTCAATGAGACAGGCCTCGACTTTGACTCTGTTTAAATCCAGGCTTAAAACAGTTCTGTTTAACTGTGCATACAACTGAAAGGTTTTCATTTTTCATTCTGCACTCTTCTCTCTAATTTAATCTCTCACTCTTTTTAATTTTATGATGATTATTTATGTTTTGATTTGTTTTTATTGTGATTTTAATGTATTTCTTATTCTGTAAAGCACTTTGAATTACTTTGTGTACAAATTGTGCTATACAAATACACTTGCCTTGGTCTTGCCTTACACATGTACAAAACTTCATGTCATTTACCGTACACAGTTACTACTTTGAAGGCTGGATTAAATGCAAATGACAAATAACCCTACGGGAATCACTATCTTATCTAAACAGTAATACATCAGTTTTATGTTTAATAAAATTTCATCAGATTTTTATTTTTTTTTAATCTGTATTCACGTAAGTATCTATAATGGTACAGTATCAACAGTAAAATCTAAATTGATGAGAACAGACCTGCTGCTGTTATCAGTATTTTATCCTGTCTTGTTTGGATTTGTTGATTGTATATTTCCTTATCTTAAAGCCATAAAAAGTGAAGCCCTTTCTTTTACATAAATCATTTGGGCATTTTCTTTTAACTTCCTGTATCCCCCATTGGTATTCTACAGTGGTCTTCCCTCATGTCTATTCACTCCATGGTTTTCGTAGTGCAGGAAATGAAACATATGTGCTTGTATTTACACAGGTCAGCAGGTTTTTATGTTTCCCGTAGGTATAATTTCCAACATAATATTTCACTGAGTGGTTAGATACTGACAGAGGCTGTTTGTAACATGTTTTGGTGCGCATGTTTGGTAGTTTGTAAGCCATAAGGAATGTGTTTGAAGTTTGACAGAGTACTTCTCTTTGTGGGCTTGCATCATGCCCTCTTCAGTCCTCTCATCATCGTTTTCAGGGGGATAGAAGACAAAAAAAAAACTCTTCGCCCATAGAGCTGGTATCAAGTGATAGTCCACACACATAACAGACAGAGTGGAAGTTCCCCATGCAGAGCCGCTGGTGTAAGTGGATTAGTTTCAGTTGGACAGGCCTGGCTTTCATGTGATTTTAAGGATGATAGATGCCCCCCAGTGAAACCAGAGCGCACAGTGGCCTCAGCGTCACTGTTTAGACTTGAATCAGTTAAACGTTGTATGTAACTCCTTTTATAGTAAATCACGTATGCTGGTGTGTGATTGTGGTGTGCTTTTGGACTGTTTTGGTGGGCAGTGGTCCAGTTACTCACCCAGCCACAACACCATTTTCAGATTACAGTAAAGAAACAGAGTCAGCCAAAGGGATTTTAAACCACATGGCCCAAAAATTAGTCAGAAGTTAAATTGTGGTTAAAACTGAACTGTGACAGGCATATTTGCTTGTAAAAAAGGTGTGAGGATTAGGCTACCACATGTTTAACATATCTCTTGATGCTTTAGAAAGATAAGATTAGATAGAATAATAAAGTTGTGCAATTGCTCTGTTAAAGGTGCTACCTTATGCAAAACTGACTCTTGTGAACTTTAAGTCATGTTGTAATGCTGTTACCTCCTCAAAAACATACCTGCAGTTGTGTTTTGTTTCATTCATATATGTTTGAGTAACCTTTTTTTATTAGGCAAAGCTCAAAATCCTCTCTTCCACATTGTGATGTCATGAAGCGGTAGTTTTCAAGTTAACAGCTACCTTTTTACCTTTAGTTCAGTAGAGATTGGCAATTGTAGGGCTGAAATTATCCAAATGATTCTAGTGAGGGTGTATGAGGTTTAAAAACACAGTGGAACACTTCCTGTATTACCACATGGCATCACAAGGTGGAACAGAGTGTTTTCCCATTTAAGAGAAGAACTCAGCCTAAATCTGCAGGGTTTGTGTGTTAAACGTGTGTGAATGAAACAAAACACAAATGCTGATATGCTTTTGATGAAGAAACAACATTATAACACAGATCAGTAAATGTGCAATATAGGCCCTTTAAAGTGTATGTAATGTGTATGTTCAACTTGTCCTTTAATAATAATCTAGATCTCTTAATTTATATTGAAGAAAAATTTTAAAGAGCTACAAAGGCCAATATTGATTCACTCCTCATACTGATACCACAGTGTCTTGCCCAACAGCACACAACACTATGCTCTGGTGGGATTGATCCTGAGTTGCTCCACACAGACATATAAACAGGTCAAACCTTCGCTATTGTTTTCCAAATTAATGTATTATTTTTGCCATTATATGTATTGAGTTTTTATGTATCTTGGCATTTAAAATTGTAATTTAGAGGTAATTTAAGTAATTTCAACCAGATGCACATGGAATTCTGTGTCCTTCCTGAAGTACACAATCTCTGAAGGATAAACATGAGGTTAAACTGACCTTTTAAGTTCGACCCTGGCATTCCAGGTACAGACAGTCATTCACACCCATTACAATGCATTGTTATATTTACCTAAAGCAAGGAATCCTTGGTATGCATGGTGTTGCATACGAGCTATAATTATTTTGTATTTGCCCCTAGAGACATTGTTAGACAATGATTGCTGTGCATTTAGGGCATGAAGAGGTAAGTAAGAGCCAAAAATGTAAAACATATTCAGGTAGAAATTCATCAAAATGTAATCAAATGAAGTTCCTTGTTTCATACTGTCTATGGTAAGTTAATTGAATCTTGGACAGTCTGTTTATCATTTATTGACTGATGACTGTTTCTGTTGGTTATATCAACAATTAAAAACATGCCCATGTGGCTTGGAGCAGAGTTCAGTCTTTGGAGCATTGGACATTGTTTTGTGTAAAATGTTAATTATTTTAAGTCTGCTTTATTCATCAACACAAGGGACGCGATTCATTTTTTACCATATCACCCCCTATATCTTGGGGAAAACAATGAATCACTCAATCCGTCAAATGCTTTTCTGCATGGAGATTTTATCGCTTTGTCTGGAATGTTTCACAGTATGGTATTAAACTTTTCTATCTTCATCAAGACCAAACCAGACCAAATTACATATCAGATCTGCGGAGAGGTGACTCCACTCATAGTCAGTATGCCTGTTTTTCTAGGTATTTTTGAGCTATTAAACCACCTGTAATTGAATAAATATAAGGTGGAGGTGTTTAATGTCATACTGTCATACAACTCCAAGCAAAGCAATGACATCTACATAGAAACAAGCAAGTGACGGAGCCCCAACCAAAAAGTTACATAGTGCACCTTTTAAAGTTCAAATCTCATCTTTTGTCAACCCTTAAAGATAAGTGATGCATTATACTTGAAGCTAAACTTTTGGTGGTCTTTGTGAATGGTGCAGTCTTTTGTAGTCGGTAGCTCCACAGCTCAAGGGGGCGTCTGAAATGAGCCCCTGATTGTTCTAGCAGATGTTTTCCAGATAAGATACCATGATGTTCCACCATCTGTTCACACTGAAGTCTACCTTAGTCACACAAACCGACCCTGATGGGAACTATATATGCCTCTTCTGATGAATCCAGTGATAGACGCTTTTGTCTGGCCTGCCGCATGACAAATATAGCCTCCACCTGGTTCTGATCAGCTACTTTAATGTGCTAGACATAACTATCAGTAGCTTTGTTTACATCTACACCAAACAATCAGATCATTATCTGATTTCTGCAGTTATCAGGGTATTGAAATGTCATGTAAACAGTTGTGTGCGTAATATGTAGGACTGTCACAATAACACATTTTTAAGCTTGATATATTGCTATAGAGATATACTGTGATGAACTATCATATTGAACCAAATTTATACCACTGACACAATAACAAGATAATCCTAGTAAACCTTTAAAAAAAAACAACAGTATCCTTAAATCATGATCAACATGAATAAAGAGCAGAACAAAATTATAATCAGCCACAGAAGTCACTTATTCAACCTTTTACAGCTAAAATCTTAGTTTATTACAACAAAAATACTCCAAATCTCACTTTTATAACGTAATTGTACACACAGTAAATATTGAGCCTCAAACTATATTGTTCCTGCTTCAATGTATTGTATGATAAGTCAATACACTAATTATCATAACAGGCCTAGTAAGATGATTTCGTTCTGATCATTCACATTAGTGCAGGTTTTGGATAAAATGTTAAATTTTAAAATGCATTATATGCTTCTGCCAGTCGAATGAAAACCCATTGAGTGTTTTTTTTTTTTTTTTATCAGATCTAATTATTGGGTTATTATTCTAGTTATCTGATTTGTGTTGTGTGGCCTGGATAATTTCCATGTTTGATTATGATTGTGATCTGTGTGTGCAGGGTGGAAGCAGCAGAAGCAGTTCAGTGACGTGACGGATTACTGCGGAGGCTACAGTCCTGAGTGGAGAGCCCAGAGTATAAGGAACAGCCCCTCTCCACTCCGCAGTCCCTCATATACCACACAGGTAAATCTTCATCACACTGTCAAACACTATGGTACATTCACACTTGTATATACACCATCAAATCAAAACTGAAATAGGACTAGGACTAGAACAGGACCAAACCTATTTTACATCAGAAATGAATTATTTACAGTACTTATACCCAGAATATAGATGCTACTACTGCTAATATTTAAGATGACATTTTGAACTCTTGCTTGCACTTTCTCAAAAATAAATGAAATTGTGAGCAATCTTGTAACATAAATTAGGTCCTAAGTTATGCTTAGGACCTAAAATCCTATATTAAGTCCTATATTATGCAAATTTGTCTTTTCAACTTTTAGCCATGATAGAATAAAATCTTACCCTGTAACCCTTTTTTATTGATCTGTCTACATCTCCAAAGCTCTGTTCCACCTTGTGATGTTATGAAATTTACTTTTTACCTTTTGTTCAGCAGAGATGGGCAAATCTAGGGTTGAAATGATAAAAATTATTCTAGTGATTATATATGGAGTTTAAAATACAGTGGAGCATATATGACATCACAAGGTGGAACAGAGTGTTTTCAATTTGAAAAAAAAAAAAGTATTCCGGGTTTGTGTGTTAAATACGTGTCAATGAAACAAAACACAACTTCGGATATGTTTCTGATGAGGAACGTTAAAACAAAAATCAGAAAAATAACGTGATATGGGCCCTTAAAAAAAACAAGCAGGTATGTTTCTCCATTTCTCCTGTTCAGACTATAATGAGACAGTAGATTTTTATTATAGTAATTTTATCTCATATCATTTCAGTGTCACGTATTGCCTGTATTTCATCTTTAAGCTGTCCTGGTTGGATCATCTATTTTTATGTGTTTATGGTAATACAATGAGCAATTAGGAAGGCTTTTGTTATCTCAGTGGTGTTTTAGACTATGGTTAATTGGGGAGAAAATTGGGCTATGATGGGTAAACCACAAGTGTTATTATTGCGCAAATAGTACTTAGAGCATGAGCATCTTTAAGTACATGATTCCCCCGAAAGGTTTGAATTACTGTCATAAATCATAAAACTAGACAGGGCATCTGATCACAAGTTCAGATTTGTGTACAGTGTAGAAGAAATATAGTGTTTGGATCCATGCTGGAGAACCCTTCAAGCCCTACTTATGGCCACAAGGATAAATAGATAGTTAGGTAGCTGGATAACTGCATTCTGATTATGTGACGAATGGGCTGCTCAAATTTACATTATAAAACAAGCATTAAAGGGCCCGTATTACTTTTAGCTTTCAGATTTTTTTTTCTTTTTTGCTTCCATTTAAATGTGCTTTAGTTCTAGTCTCTGTGGCATGAATAGTCCAATTGTTTACACCCAAACAGATCACAAGATGTCTGCTGCTGTTGTGTGTCTGTGTGGGCTTGTCACCTCATAACACTGTTTTTACTCTAGTTTCTTACTTTTCCTCTATTTTCCACAGCATGGGAATCTTTACAAAACCAACAGTGTGGACTACGCTGGACAAACAGTCGGCAATGACCTGGTCCCACCAACGCCGTCCTTCCCTGTGTCCCCCACAACGCCCTATGGTAAGATTTCGCCTTTTGAAAGTGGGTGTTAATGTTTGGATTGGTTTGTATCTTATCACTGTTTTCCTGTCCTTTCCAGTGAAACACTTCTCAGAGTTTTCCCAGATTCGGAGCGGTGGGCAGTGGGACCAACACATCTGGACACAAGGTAAATGTTCCCAGGAGCCTGTTTGTGCCTGACTGACCAGAGCAGTGAATGTTGAACCCAAACACTTGTGCTAATTGCTGCCAGACAAAGGTTGGCTGTAATACCCCAGCTCCAGGCATACAACTCTATCAACAATGTACTTTATGCTCACTTGACTTATCTGTGGTGCCCCTTTGTTTCCGGTGAACTCTTGAACCCCAAAATTTTTGTGATATTTTTAATCTCTCAGTAGGGTGTGTATTTATATTGTATCATGGCTTGGTTTGAATACATTCAAATGAATCAATATTTGAATAAGTAGAAGTAAAATTTTTCTATATGGATTTGCTATTATTGCTTTGCCTGGAATGTTCCACTGTATGGTTTTAAACTCACCTTGAAAATCATGCATTCTTCTTGTGATTGGGGTCACTACACCACAGATCTGATCTGTAATCAGTGTTGGGAAGTTACTGAATACAAGTACTGAAAATACCTATTCTGAATTCCAATTTTGAGTACCATTCCGGTACAGTTACTCATTTGGTGGTATTCAGAATGCAGTTACTTTCCTGAATCAAAAGGAATACATGACTCTACATCATCACGTAACTTTGACTTTGAACTGCTCGGTTTTAGTAGAAAAAAAAAGAACGCACAGCTCTTGCAGTGCGTGCATGTGTATCTCTAATTGGACATAAATAAATGCATAACAAATAGTGCAACAAAAATAAAGCTATTTGTGTTTGTAGATTCGGTCAACTTAGTGTAAATATATTCAGAGTATTCAGAATACAGCACTCTTATTGGCCCATGTCAATATACATTTTAAATACATTTTTTTATTTACACTAGTCTGTAACTAAATATTATTCTATAATAGTATGTTTCTCATTACTGTCCGTCATTTGGCCTGCTGATATCACCTGCTTGTTTCCATGAAGAACAATAATTTCTCAATCTGTAATGCCATGCTGTGGAGAATTTCAGGCAAAGCAATAACATCTCCAGACAGGTAGTGGACCCTCCACATTTAAGGGTAACATTAGCCATTGATGTGCGACTTTTAACCAGATTATCTTCAAAACTGTGGCTTTTCTGGGTGTTCCCAGTGGTAGTTTTCAATATCTAACAAAATTGGTCTAAATAAGGAAAAGTACTGACCTAGCAACAGGTGATGCATCTAGGAAAGTACAAGTTTGTCCAACAGATGTTAAAACTGGTTCATAGTGTTTTCAGGCAGCGTAAAAGCATTGTTAAAAATATACAGCTGAACAGTATTACACATCACATTATGACATGTGTGTATTGTAAATCTCCTCTGACTCTTCTAAACATATGGTAAATATTTGTCAAAATTGTAGTGGATGTCCTGCCAGGCCCATTCAAACAGCTGATTCGGGCTGCATGCTAATAATAGTGGAGGTAACAGAGGAAGAGAGCAGGCTGCTGGCAGGATGTCCTCTCGTCCTGTTCAGGGAGGGGACAGGGAGAGGGGAGGGTCTTTTGTTTTCAGGGGTATCCGGAGGGACCTGTGCCTAGGAAGATATGAGGCTCACAGCTGCACAAAGAATTTAGCCTGGTGTTAAAACAGGACCTGCGTTTAAGGACCTTATCTTGGAAGCTATTTCCTGAGATCTTGTTCGTTGACATGTGAAATGATAGAATGATGTATGCCTGAAAATTTCTTCCTAAAATAGATTTAAGTGAGACCTTTATTTTCGTGATGAGTTACTCCACCCAAGTCACCCAAGGGCAAAAGCAGTATCTTAGGACTTGGGTTATGATAGGGACATAGGAAAATATTGTCTTTAACTGTACAACTGTAATTCATGGAAGTCATCTAATCTGATGAGGATAAAATGCTAAGAAAGAAAAAGGGAATTTAAATGGTCATGAATTCAATGGACTTAGAATACACTGTTTTGTCAGATAAAGATTATATGTTAGAATAACTAAAAAATTACAAATTATGCTTTTTGTCTGGTATTACATATAAAATGAACATTCATAGATCATTAGGCCCGTGCTACTATTTTTCCCCCCTTTTGTTACTTGTAAACTTTGCGTAAGCTAATGATGATATAGTTAACAGCTCACAGAAGTCGAGCTTGTTAAATATGTTCCCTTTAAATCCTTTCATTGTTTCATATTGTCAAAATTACTTTGTTTTACTGTATACTTGAGAAGCTTACTTTGCGCTAAGTGATGGGTGAAATGGTGCAGTGAAAGGGAATTAGACTTCATATGGATTTTCAGGCCGACAAAGAGCATTAACAAAATGAGATTAGTGGATTTAAGAGTTATGGGAATCTAACCTTATACTTTGAGCTTTACATGTTATTACGGCATAAGATGTTTTTATTAACACACTAAAAATTATAATGTTTGTAGTTTTGTTGTACAGCAGGTCACAGAGGATACAGCATTTGAAGGACAGATGCATGCAGCCATTGTAAATGTTTGTGTGAAAACAAAGAGCATGATGAAAGAGTAACTATATTGTACACAGAAACCAGCAGATTAGTTTTTTTGTCGGGATGGGCAGATGAATTAAAAAAAGACATATCCCCAGTCTGGGCGGCAGACGGTAGCTTCCTGTTTCCCACGTTAGACAAATCAGTCTGGTCTCAACATTTAAGCTATAACATAAACACTTATTTTTGTTTAGACTACTTAAAACTGTGTGGAAGATTTGATGCAGAATTAACAGTGTTGTGCTTAATTTCTGAAGGACAGAGATACTGTCTTTTGGAGTGACAATGCAGATGTAGGCGTTGAATACAGCATTTTCATTTCTTGTTTTTTTTAGATTGTCACTATATTCATTTACTATACATGGATTTGCAATGTGGCAGTTTTATTTACAGCAACAAAATTGGTTTATCGATAGGTTGGATGTTTGTATACTCAGATGTAATGCAAATGTTGATATAAATTAGATGTTAGATTATAGATTAACAATTAAACCCTCAATCCTCGGCTTGAATTGTGTGAGTTTGTTTGGGAAGTCCTTTTTGTAATGTGTTTTGCTCAGTTACCCTATTTTATTCCACCAAAATATGCAGGCTTGTGCAGGTATTAGGACCCAGATTTTGTCTTATATCTACTGTTCTGATGATGCTTACTGCTTCTGCCCCAACGGCATGGATGGGTCAAATTCAGGGCACTATTTTACCAACAGGAATAAAATAAAACTCAATTTTACATAAGTTACAATATTGAGATATTTCTTAAATTAAAAACCAGGAATCCTTATCAATTTCCTTTCACATTTTTAGACCACTCTAGCAGGCAAAGCTACCTGCTGTTACATATAGTGCATAAACTTTCATTTCCTCATGCAGACAACATGTGGTATTACATAAGTTGACTTCCTTTGTGTACATGTGGAGCAGGCAAAACAAACAGGCGTGCAGTATGGACAGGAGTGGCCTGGCCGGAAGAATTGGGATTCAGCCAGAGGAATGTCCATGTTATGAGCTGCTCTTTGGTACAGGCAGATGGGACACAGACAAACACTCCACTGTCTCATCCTCGGGGTCAAAGGTCAGGAGAAAGTACCGGGGGCGGCTCTAGGGCACTTCTCACGTCGTAAAGGGAGTAGGAGACAGAATAATGTATATCTGAAATGTTATGCATTCTCATCTACTGAAAGACAACTTTGTACAGTCTGTAGTCTACTGTAAACAAACTGGAATATGTAAGATTGCAACAGAGAGTTCAAGAGAATTGTTACTTAGAAATAATATTATAAATATGTAGTCAAATAATTTGTGATAACAATTGTAGTTTAGCTGCTACCTGGCACATGAATTGTATTTTGACTGACATACATAAACATTAGAAAGAAGAAGAAAAAAATATACATCTAGAGGAGCTGTTAAATTAATCAAAAATGTTTTATCAAGATTGAGATTCACTCATTTTTTATCTTTCTTATATGACCATCTGAGGTATTTTGAGTCATATCTCCCAGGCTTACATCTAAACAACTAATGACAATACACAAGAAACTCGTGATACATTTAGGCCTACATCAATAAACACGAAAAAAAAATATATATATAATAATACTACTATAGTACTATACTATGTACTATAGCCAGTATTGAAACTTAGAATTCACTTGAAGTTTACTGTATATATGTATACTATACGGTACTGAAAAAATACGTATAGTACCTTTACTCATAATTTAAAAATGGTGTTTCAAAGCTCATATGAGATTGCATAATCATAATATTAAATCATAATATTAAATAAAACAGCATATTATGTGTTGAAAATCAAGATTTATTGTAATAAATTGTGGTACTGTAGTTGGTGTCAAGGTATAAATCTAGTTATATTTCAGTAGCTACCTTGGCAACACTAGTGATGACTTCCTCAGACGTCCCTGTAATAATCTCCCTCCCAGCCTTTTCCCTGCTGCTCGAGGGACTACACCACTATGGGCATGCTTTGTTCTGAAAACAAAAGTCCACTCTACACTATTCAATAACCATCTTACAGCCAGATTTATGAAATCTTTGCCTGGGTGAGACACATATCATGTAGCCGTGGTCACTGTGTGAGTGTGCTTTGTGCCGTTTGTGGTGACCAGATGGTGGGAGTGGAGAGACGCATGCCCTGACAGAGAAGCCATAGAATAAAACCCCCCTGCCCCCAACCCCCAAATCACCCCTCTATACCCACCATTGCCTCTCAGTGGTCCATAAAAGTCCACATGTAACCCCTGACCCCACTGGAATCCGCTCTGATTGGGTGAAAGTTGCTGGTAGTAGCTTGGGTAGGGACAATACTGGTGGTCAGCGAGTAGAGGAAGAGGGAGGGTATGAGCGTGTGTGTGCGTGTGTGTGTATGGGGGGGTAGTGACATTCCCTAACTCTCCTCCTCTGCCTCTGTCCCACCCTCCATACAAATCCGGCTAGTGTCAAAACAAGAAAGAAAGCGGAGTGAGGATTGTGATCATGGAGGTACTCTTTTAACTAGAAAAAAACACAGTACTGAAGTTAGAT